GCTTGTTTAGACATTTTGACAGCTGCTCTAATGAGATGTTTATTAGCAAGTACTGGTTATGCTGTTTATTCTTGGGGACTTTCTGACATTGTGAAACATGTCTTCAAATGAGATATGACTAAGGATGCGGTGCCCCAACAATGACAGGGCATATTAAAGTGTCATTTCCTACAACTGTAAGGAAATGACTTCCACTTGGGAAGTTACGTGTTTCCGCGCTCATTTCTAGCCTTGTTTCTCAGTGCTGCTCTCAAAGGAAATACTTCTTAGAACATCCTATTCAGGTGGTTTTATAAAACTATTCATGTCAAATTGCGAAATTCATTTGAAATTAGTGTCCTACAAGAACATCTGTTGCATGAAGAAATATGTTGTACCTATGTTAGTTGTTTCATATTTAGTGTTTCATATTTGGTTCCTGTGTCTGAGAGTTGATTAAGGCCATTTTTATTGCTGCCTGTAAAGTATGTCCATGTGAATACCAGTACAAGAGAGGAATAACTAAATGGGAGCACTGCAGTGTGGCAGCACTGAACTTTTCAACCTGGGATTTATAAATGACCTTATCACAAATCATAACGACAGGTAGAAAGAAAACAGTCAAGTTTAGAGCATTTTTCAACAAAAGAATGAATGGTCCATGTCACTGTGGGTCTCTATTGGAGGGAGTGATATATTTCAGCCAAACTTGAAAACAAATTCTTTGTGGGAGAGCAACAGTGGAACCTAAACAGATGGTTACTATGAAAAGTCCTAGACAATTGGAGCTTTGACAATTTTGCAAGCTGTAATATGCATTGATTTCTGGATCCTACATGACAATAAGAGAAAGTTGACAGGTCCCAGGGACAAAGCTCCAAGCCTAATTCACCCGCTATTATTCCCCACATACTTGAGTTGCCCAGAAAAGCTAGTGTTTGTCAATTTTTCTCAGTCTCAATAACCACGTAGCTTAGACTAGTCGTCCTGTCCCTCAGTCAAAACTGATTGGTGTATTTTGTTGAGTTACCTGAAAAACATGATGTTATTACCATGATTAAGCAGGGAAAGAACTTTTTTTCAGGCTGATTGTTTATGGCTGGATTGTAATGGACTGATGTTGTTTTTGTTGCTTGTAGGTAGTTGGTTTTTATACTGGGTAAATAAAAACGTGTGCATCAAAGTGATAATTTTAATGATGAGGAAATATGAAAAACGACAAATTCATTTAGATATTCCAATAACTGCCACTATTCAAGTCAGGTTGACATACTTTAACATGAGTTGAACCTGACTGGTGTTTTAAAATAGGTGTCATACATTTCATCACATATTTAATGTAGTCCCTGATTTATCGCTCCAGCCATTTTAGCTGTGTTCATGGAGAAGTGTTTGATGTTGAAATTCATCACCATCAAGATTTGAATATGAAACATGTTGGAGTGAGCCATGCAATGTAAAGTGTTTGCAACTTCTATCAAGTTACAGCAGAGATAACTTTCCTAGAGTCATAGGAACTATGAAAGATTTTATGAGCTTCTCTGATCTGCTACCTCTGAAACGAGGAAGAAAGGAAAATTACAATGTAAAATAGAGATTAACCACTACAGATTGCATAAAAGTCTCCAAAATGTCCACAGTCCGATCTCGCTAGTGTTTATGACTATAGATACATTAAATATCAAAGGAGAAAAAATTTCACAGGTCATAAAGCACATTGAGCTCAGCAAATGAGTTTGCTTTTGTGAGTTTTTTGCTGAAGACATCTTTAAGTTGTGGTTATCTGTGTGCAAGACTTCAACAAAGCTTGAATTTAAGAATTATAGTCACCGTGATTCATGCATTATAGATTCTGCACCATCTTTTAATATGACTCATATCAAACAGAAAAAAGGACATTTTAAGGAGGGTTTAAAAATATAACTTGCGTGAACAGTTTAATTTCTTATGGATTGATTTTGACAGGAAAAAATGTCAAATATCAGGATGATTTCCCAAACTGATTACCTAGAGCTGACAAATATGATTGATTTTAATCATAGAAAATCACCTTATGGTTTTGGATATTTTTCGCTGACAGGGGCGATAAGCGGATGTAATAGCTTGTTGAACTGGGATATGCACCTCTATGGCTTGATTGCTTGCGTTTCAGATTTCACAAAATATCCACAAAGTTGCAGACATCTAACAGCAAAAAAAATGTGAACATCTATCAGGTTTCTTTGTGCTTTTGTTTGAAGATTTTTAGCTGAAAAATATGCCAGAAAGTGATTTGCAGTTATTTCTCTTTGAATTGTATAAACAATCTAATAATGATCAAATGACATCTTACACAAACATTCCTTTATCTGGACATGGTTTAATCAACCATCTGGTGACTTTATTTTAAAGAAAAGATTCAAATTACTTGTCAGCTTCTGGGATTGAAAGGTCATTAATACAATCCATGATAAAGTAGACACATAAAAAATTATATGCAATTCATCAAACTCTTTGAGTGACACATTCAAATAAAGCCATTGTTTCTTTTCCACTTTGATGTTTAAGAGGCCAGACCTGTTGTCCATAAATCAGGGTACAGCAGAATTACATTCTAGCCTATTATTCCTTCACCCCTTGTAATTTGACCTTCCTGAATTATTGTTCAGTTGCATCTGTTTCTGCATTTGAAAGAAGTCAATAATGCCAGACGGAAAATAAGTAATTTTGCCTTTAACTTAGAAGAACCATTAGATGCCAAAATTGAGTTTCCTTTCATGCTGAAATATTCAATAATTTAATAAAAGACTATCATTCCATTATTGAAAATAATAATGAGCATAATTATTGCCATGGTAACAAGTCAAGCCTAGCACTAATGAGGGGTCGAGAAGGTGTGAAATTTGACCTTCCTTTAATTATCTGCACATTTTCTCTGGATTATATCATTGAGACCAGTGGAACCGGTGATTAGTTGTAGTGGTGTCTTCCAACTAATAAGGTGGCAGATTCAAGGTGAAAACTGCTGAAGCTTTATTGTTATTCTGCTTGTTTTTTTTCTGTGGGTAACTTTGTACATTCAATCCTATTTCAGACTAAATACCCAGCAGGATAAAATATATGTGAAAATATGTTAGTACATAATCTGAATCATTCAGTTTATATTGTTCAGTAATAGTAAAATTTATGCTATATTGGCAGTTGAAATAAAAAGGAATATTTGTGTATCTCTTGTGGCAACCTGAATACTTTGTGGGTGTCACTGAATCATTGTTAAATCGAGATGTGAATAGGCCTTGGTTCTGCAAATACTTATTTTCTAGAATAACAATCACTGGAAACAAAGTGGTTTTTTTCTGTTGTTCAGGAAACTATTAATTAGATGGATGTGATTTGAACCTAACTTGAAGTATTTTTCAGCATAATCCAAATAGATACAGCTATTGCATGTTGACTTGCTATATGGCAAGTAATTAAGGAAATTGCAAATATGCAAGTTATCAAGTCATGAGAATGTAGGTGCTACACACAGTATGGGCAATGATTGATGATGTAATTATCATTAAGATATTTGAGATTTGTAGTGAGGACCACTCCCTGTTACTCCGAAGATGACTTGGACATTTATACTTACTAGAATCAAGTAACGTGCACAGAGAGATGAATTCAACAAATCTGATTAGATATGCATGATTGTCACGGAATATCAGGACCCAAAGAATTATTATCTTTATTCTTCCAGTATTGTTAATTGAATAGGCAATATCTGTCAATAATTAATGAAAATAAGGGAGTAACTTAAAATTTGCATTAATAATGAAGTTTTGTGTGGATCTGTTGAAGAAAATCCTTTTGTACATAAATCTCCACATTTGCAATCGGTGCAAAGAGTGATAAATATCTGCTAACTTGCAAAATCAATACTTGGTGTAAAAACTAGAAAGAATTTCTTCAATTTTGATCCATTAGACATGAGAAAAATTGGTATTTTGCGCAGTTGTTATTTTGATTTAAAAGCAGGCCTGTTGATGGCAAAGACTAGACAAACACGTCAATTAGGCAATTGAGAGATGACAAAACTCTTACAGTCGCAGACTATTTTGACATCTCTCTCTCATCACCAATGCAAAAAGAAAGTATTGATTTTGCTCAACAACTGCGATAATTCCAATATCAAACTCAGGGATAACAAGATTTTGCGTCTTTTTATTTGTAAAGGTGTCGTATTGGCAGAGACAGTATTGTAATCTTTTGTGTTGCAGTCTTACTGACAGGTTCATTGCTAGTGTGCCGTTCTGTCAGAAAGGCTTTAGTTGTGTTTGGTTCCCTGAATACGAATGTGATCTTCATTTTATCAGGGTTGATAATGAAATTTACTCGCAGATAAAGCAACAAGATTTTGGTGTCGATAATATGTCAACAATGACATGTCGGAGCATGACATGTGCTAGCACTCATAGCCATAGCTTATTGATTCCATTCTGTCATCTTGCACGTCTGCTGCTCCGCCAAATGCAAATTATGACATGTGATTTATCACGATAATTATACTTCACTAACACAGAAGCCGCCATGAAATCAGTTGGCCAAAAAGCTTCTTGTTCGCATTGGATTCAGAAATATTATTCAAGAAATGTCAATCCGGTTCTTGATCTGGCAGCAAAACAATTTCAAGATCTCCGCCATCGTAATTTGCATTTAAATGGGTTTCCTCCCTTGGGTTAAGGTTTTTGGGGCTGTAGGATCTATTTACGAAAAATCTCATTTTGTCGAAAGTATCACTCCAAATGAATGTGTAGTCAGGCTAGGGATTGATATTATTGTACTCTCAATCACATCATTACTGGCTTGAAAATTAACCATAAATTGCATTTACATGCACTATAAAGGAAATTAATACCTAGATAATGAGAAATCATCTCAAATTTGAAGTACGCCAGGTCCATCATTCTTACTTTCTGTTGGGTTTTTTCAATGATAATGTAATAAGCTTGTAATATTCGTGAACTTTCACACCACTCTATGTTGTTTCTCTTTTCCAGATTGCAAGGTGGCAACATATTCCTAATGAGAAGGTTGCAAGATTCAGTTGAGCTATTGCCAGCCTGGATGACAAGAAAATGAAAGGCTCATCGTTCTCAAGGAGGTGATGACCATTCGGGCTAGCCATAGACTTTGATGTTTGAGTGAAGGAACATTTCTTGACTGTCTGGGAGAACCCATCACAACAGTTAAAATGGATATGTCCAAATCCAGTCGCCGAAAGCAGACAAAACCAATACGGGTATATGAGGGTGAGGAGGCGGTAGGCTCAGATCAGACTCCGCCCACTCAAGGAGTGCCAGAGGACTTCACAAATGGAAGTTCACAAGTGAAGGAAAATGGTCCACAACAGACTGAAGACATGCCTGTTGACCTTCATGTGGCAATAATAACATGTACTAAATGCCCTGAAACTTTTCCTTCAAAGGAGCATTTCATGAACCATATAAATGTTGTTCACGCATCTGCTAAGGAGCCCAAGGTAGATATTGAGTCCATGATGTACAACTATCCTACAGCATATCATCGTCTTGGCAGTGAATTCCAGCAGGAGAACAAGATCATTGCCAATGGTCATGCTGAAGGTGATAGTGAAAACATACCTCCTGAAACTCACAATGTTCAGGAAGTCAAAGCAGATGCTGAACCGAAGGACTTAAATGGTGATCACATGGACGCTGTCAAAGATGGTAGCAGGATCTTTCATCCTGATGCTTATTGTGAACTGTGTGACAGAGAGTTTTGCAACAAGTATTTCTTAAAGACCCACAAAGCCAATAAACATGGAATATATGAAAATGCTCCATCTCCATTTTCTATGACTCCAGGGCAAACAAATATGATCTTGCCACCACAAGAACCTGTCCTACCCCTACCCTCACCCTACAAACATGAGCCTGCCCCAACACCTTCACAACCATTACCTCCAAAGAAAGAAGCTGTGGCTGCAGTTCCTAAATCCTTCAAGCTTGATGCCACAACAGCAAAGGTGGAAGCAACAAGCCTCACCTCCTCCAAGTCAGCACCAATTGACAACTCCAAGATGAACAACAGTGGCTCCTCAACTCAGCCAGATATGGAGGACTATTGTGAAATTTGTCAAAAGCATTTTTGCAACAAATACTACCTCAAGAAACATAAGCAAGATGTACATGGTATTGTGCCTGAAAACTCACCCTCTTCATCTGGTAAACGTAGTCGTGCTGCTTTTGATATTCCCATTACGGCTACTGTCACCTCATCCCCAATGATCTTACCTCAGACTATGGCCAACATGGCAGGTCTACCAAATATGCCTAACATGCCTGGTGTGATGGTCCTCAACCCTTTTATGCCGCCCGTCGCTATCATCCCCGCCCAATCCTTGCTTCCCCAGCAACAAGTGCATCCCCAACCCCACGCTGTCTCCCAGCCACTGCCTGTGTCTCTTCCTGCCCCTTCTCTATCGGACCACGTGCCAGTATCACTACAGTCTTCAATGTCATATTCACCAATGTCATCAGCAGTGTCCCTGACAGCTACCTTGGGAAAACCTACTCCTTCCATACCTAATGATGCGCTCAGGAGTATTGGGGTCCTGAATGCTGAGGCCTACTGTGAACAGTGTCGAAAGGAGTTCTGCAACAAGTACTTTTTGAAAATCCACATGGCTAACAAACATGGAGTTTTCAGTGATGACATGATTCCTCCACCATATGGAAAGTCAATTGATGCCCTGGAGAACTCAATGCTATCTCCAGTGAAGATACCAAAAGATGTGAAGCAAGAGCCAGGATCTCAGATTAGCCCACCAGGTACAGCAAGTGGGGACTCCTATATTACTTTCTGTAACCTGTGCAACAAGGAATTTTCCAGTAAATATTCATACAAAATTCACCGGATGAATGTTCATGGAATGTTGAGCGATATACAAGAACCTTCACTTGCTGATGGACCCGAGATTCCTATGTCAAAAATTGATAGTGTAGCCATGAGTAGTTCTGAAGGTCTGCTAAAAGTTGCAGCTGAAGCCCAAGCCCAAGCCCAAGCCCAAGCCCAAGCACAGGCACAGGCACAGGCACAGGCACAGGCACAGGCACAGGCACAAGCACAGGCCCAAGCACAAGCCCAGCAAGCTTCTGGTGGAGCCAAAGATAATAATGCTACTACAATATTTGGCAACATGATAGCTGCAAAATTGGCCGACAGGGTTGTGTGTGATATCTGCAACAAGGAGTTGTGCAATAAGTACTTCCTCAAGGCCCACAAGCTTAGAATCCATGGTGTTGACTTATCTCCTCAGGAAAAAGCTGCAGAAGCGGAGAGGGAAAATCCTTATGATAGCCCTTATTCCAAATCAGGTTTAAGTAGTACACCAAAATCAGAAGCTAAAGACCTCTCTGCAATTACAGCTGAGATGATCACAGCAGATATCCTTCAAAGGTCTCAGATTCGTAGCAGTGCCAGTAAGAAACTTGATCTTAGCAACATAGCTCCAAACTTGCCATCAGAAAAACCATCAAATGAAGAACTTGTAAAACTTGGCATTGATCCTGAAGCTTACTGTGAAATTTGTAAAAAGGAGTTCTGTAGCAAGTACTTCCTTAGAACACATAGACTGAATATTCATGGCATTCGTACTGATAAATCTGACTCTGACGCAAGGGAAAAAGAGAGATCTAAACAATCAAAGAGTTCCCTTTTCAACCCAATGAATGGTTTTGGCTTAGGAGGTCTCGGTGTCCTGGGTGGCCTTGGAGGCCTAGGAGGATTCATGGGAGGAATGCATGGTGGCCCAAATGGTATCTTCAGCTTTGCAGGAAATGGAGGTCTTCTTGGTATGACTCCACAAGCACCCATTGGCACAGGATCTCTCGGAGGACCAGGAAGCTTGTCCCCAATGATGCCAGAACTTGCTCGTAATGATCATCAAAATAGCTTGAGAAGTCATAATGGAGGTATAAGTGGTGGGACTGGCGGTAGTAGTGCTGGGAGTGCAAGCAGTTCAAGCAGTGGTAGTGGCGGCAAGAGTAAAGATGGATTTCAGAAACACACCTGGCGCTGGAAGGAACCTGTCAATTCTTCAAGAGTGTCATGTGAAATCTGTAACAAAGAACTCTGCAATAAGTATTTTCTGCGAACACACAAACTTAACAAACATGGGATAATACCAAGTGACAAGTCTCCAAGCATGGGCAGCTCACCAGCACCATCAGATTGTGAGACTGCGAGCAATGCCTCTAGCCAGCCTGATCAGACCATCTCAGACAGGGGGAACCAGACTCCAGTTTCTCAAAATAGTAAGGTTGACAGCATTTCTCCCCATCCATCACCAACATTAGACAAGAGCTTTGAGAAGTCAGCAAATCAGCTGAAGGCTGATCTCCTCAGATTGAAGAATGAGGAAGAGTTGAATAATCGCTACATAAACAACCAGTACAGTGAAGTGTGCAATCTCTGTGATCGACGTTTCAAAAGTTCCAGATGGCTGAAGGCACATATCCTCAAAGATCATGCTGGTTGGCCAATGATGGATATGTTTGACCAGAAGACTTCTGGACGAAGTGGACTGCTGGAGACACCAGATCCCAAGGCTTGTACAGTATGTGGTTTGGTCTTTCCAAGTGAACTTTCGATGCAGTTGCACCTTATTCAAGAGCACAATGCCCAGGTCACTCTGAAGACTGAGGAATCACAACAAAACGGCAATGGGGAATCTGGAACCCCTCCCTCAGATTTCGGATTTGGCCTTGGTTTCAGGAAACGGGTATTCAGGGCAGATAAGCAGAAGCTCTATGCTTGTGTCCTGTGTGACTATAAGACAAAATGGTTGTCAAATCTCACATCACATGAGATGAAGATACACAACCTTAGTAAGAACAGCAAGTTGTGTCCTAAGTCATTCCCAAGTGAACTTCTGCTTTCTCGGCATGTTGAGCCCCAGCTTGATGAGCCTCTTGATATTTCTCGCTCAGGGAGTAATAAGAAAATACAAGAGAAGAGATATAAGTGCAGCATCTGTGGCGACAAGTTCGATTCACGTGTAGTATGTAATAGGCATTTGCGAGAAGTTCACATACGCAGAAAGAAAAACTTTGCCTCAAGAAACACGATTCACAGATCCAGATATTCTTGCAGTCAGTGTTCGTATTCCACTCGTTATCCTCAGCAGCTCCAGCGCCATCGATCACGCTTTCATGCAAGTCGCAGCACAGGAGGCCCTCTGCAGGAATGGAAGGGGAACCTGGACGAGGTCCATGCAGAACCCATCACCAAGAGCTACACTGCCTCTGCCCAAGTCCAATGTTTTGAACTGGCTGTGAACACTCCAGATAGCACCTTCCTCCCTTCACTTGCGCACATGCCAGTTCGACAGCGTGTGTCAGAGCCCATGGCTGTAACGTTTATTCTTACGCCTGTCAACCCCTGACTGTTACCATGCATGTAGCCTTGAACTATTGAGTGAAACTATATTGTTGAGTAATCCTCAGGTACATTGTGTGATGTCTAGCTCCACACATGCTGTGCGTGCAATTAATTTGTTTGTTTTTTTTGGTTATATTTTTATCATTTCTCATGGCCATTGACTTCCAAACCAACCAAGATACCAACATGCATGTGTGTGTGTTTGTGTGTGTGTGTATATATCTATATCCATAAAGTATATATATGAGTATATTTTCAGTTCTCTGAAAAGCAGGCAAATATTGGCAAAACCATAATTGATGAGTAAGACAGTGTTCTCTCTCTTCCAACCTTAATACATTTCTCTCTGACATATGTAGTATATATATATATATAAAACCCTCAGAGACTCTGCATGTAGTGTATATTGTTAACACCTCTGTATAACTAGTCATAAGCTGGCATTTACAAGTGTAAATACCATATTTATTCTATAGGACTTTCACTGTGTAAAAGAGTGACACCAAGCTACCAATGCTTTACGCCAGGATGCCTCCACAATGGCCAACCCTTTGCCCCACCAGTAGTGTTCAACATTGCGGGCAACCATATAGTACTATCTGTGATTGAAATGTGTTTTTGATAAAGAAATTTAATCTTGAAGCATTTAAGTGTTGTTTTGTGGAACTGTAGACATACTTTGCGCGTGAAGGTGTTGCACAAGGGTGACAGTGGCATCTAGCTGCGGTCTGCTGCTGCTGCAACACCTCAGGAACCATTTTGTACATATTGTTGAAGTTGATATTTATAATAATCCATGGCAGTGAATGTATCCCTTGTGCAACAATGTTTCCCCTGCTTACTGTAGTGTTGTGAATATATAATTATATATATATTTATGTGTTAAACGTCTCTTATTTATATTGACCACCAAATGAATGAAACTTGATGAATATGATACAATGATGCTTATGCTTTTGTGAGGATCAAGATTGATATGTCTTGCAATTGATCCCAATGAACAATAAATGCACACACATCAAATGTTCATATGAAACAGAACGTTTACTCTGTAATTGGCAAAGTGGAAATTCAGAAATTTTGTTCATGTTTGAACTGACTTTCCAGATAAGCTTAGTTGAGTAGGTAGAACTAGGCAACTTCTGTCAGCGTTACATGATACAACATTCCAAAGGCTAACATTTGTCACTGATGATGAGGTGTATTTTGATGTGTGTGTATTGCGAGGGAAGAGAGAGAATACTGACTGGACTAAGTTGTTCTAGCTTCTGGCAGCACAGATGTGTTCTCTAGTATCTCAGTATTACTTGCCAAAGCCATTTCAAGTTTTATCCATAGTCCAGCACACCAGCCCAAGCATTTATATTGGAACATGGATAAAAAGATAACTGCTTTGCACGATTATTGTACACCATAGCATTGCTTTGCTAGTGCACAAAACCGAATTCAGTGGTAACAGTGGAAACTTGTGGTATGTCAAAACCATTTGCCTGTGTATAGGTACAAGCTTAGAGACTGAAAATAGCCAATATTGTCAGTTTTGAATATATATGAAGTTATTATGTTACGAAGTCTTGGACAAACGTGTTTCCATGGTTTATAGGGATACTGATTCAGTAGCTGATAGTATAACATGTTACAGAAAAAATGTGTGTGCCAGTTAATCCATTTGTACATGGATGTATTTGAAAGTCCTACCATATAAGCATTTTATGTTGTGGTGATGCACAGCTAACGTTGGGCAAGACATGAGCAATAACTCAGATTCTTTTACACACGTGTTGTAAAGTATAGATAGTATCAGAGAAGTCAGATGTGTTTGAAATATTGTCAATTTTTTTATTTAGTTAAGCTAACCCTTCTATCATCTACCTCGAGCAAGCCTTACTGTTTATAAGAATACTTGTATACAGTTGTATGAACAAATCTATTCGCCATGTTGTTTAGGACCTGTAGAGTTTTAATAGTGTTTTTAATATGCCTTTGTAATATTAACAAGCAATCTATTTTGACCAAGTTAACTTTAGAATTCTTAATGGGAAAAAACAATGTTCATGAATACATGAACATTGAATTATTTTTTAACCCTTCTAATCCCCATATTTCCTTGTTGTCATGGGAACACTACCAAGATTTAAGATTAATTTAAAAATGTTCAATATCAGAAGATTGCATTGCTCTTCTTTTTACTGAGCTGTAAATGTTATTTTCATTTGATGTTCATCCCTTGAATGAAACTTGTTGAAGGCCACTGTGTTGGCCTGGGTTTGTTGTGTATTTTATTTCACAGCTTCTCCAGATGTGTTTTTGGGTTTTCTGTGTGATTCTCTATATATGGCATATTGTGATCTAAATTATGCGTGAGTTTGACGTGTGAGTGTGACAATTGGAATGTTGGATTCTTTTATTTTTTCATTTATTAAATTTTATGACATTCTATTCGCGTGGGATCACAGTAGTCCAGTCAGTACGGATTTTCCCGCCTTCAGACAAACCTATTTATTATTCCATTTAATTTTCCATACAAGTATTCCTCTACCCACAACTCCCCTGTCTGCTCTCATTTCAACTGTCATTTGGCGTGCCCATTAACTATTTTTGATAAGCACGTTTGTCTGCCTCCCATATCGCCAAAGTAATCACAGGAATCGTCTGCACTCGGAAAGTTCCCAAATTGTTGATTATACTGCATACCCCACATGTTGATATCTGTGTTGGACAGTTAGCTTAATGCATTGTGTTGTGTGAATTCAAATGGGGAGATTTTTTTATATCCTTGTGATTTTTGTTCACACCCCAAAGTTGATCCTAACCCTGTAGCACAAAACTTCTTTGGTACAAATTTTCTCTGTGAAGTCTAGTCCTATGTATTGTTGCAGCTATTTATTTATGACTACAGTCAAATGATGAGTCTCTTGTGTTTTGGGATTGGTTTCGTTTGCTGTCAAAAATAGAAAATAATGGAGTATGTGTGTGCTTGAAAATGCAATATTTGAATAAAAATCAAGATAGAAAGCTGTTCCTAACATCATATTGTTCATTTTGCTCTATCCATAAAAAGACAAGAAAATAGCACTTTGATATATTTTCATGCCTTTGTTGCGAAGGATGCTTGACTTTGTAAACTTTATTGTCCTTCGCTTGTATGTTTATGTTTGATGGAAAAGTCAAGAGACTGATATGGACTTTAAATCTTCCATAATGTCTCTTTAAATCCTGGAAAAGAACAGTGTATCCCTTTGACGGGCAAAGCTTATTTCCTATGAGACGTCAAATCAAATTGATTTTTTTCGTATTTGAACCTAGAGGATCAAATATCCATTACGAAAGAAGTCATTCTGAGAGAATGCCCCAAAGAGATGATATATTTGTCAGCTGGGGGTATTTTGGAAAATCAAAACAGATTAAGAAGAAAAATTATTCTTTCTTGGTGGATCAAGTTGTCTCTCATTAAGAGTTCCAGGGAAATTTGACATAATTTTGATATGCATTCCAACATTTTGTCCCTCATCAAAAGATTTCTCACTTGCGTCATTGTATGCAGAAAATTGCTTTATTCTGAAGAAAGGGGAAAGAATGTGTTGTTAATGTAATTGAATAGTAATGAAGACTTAAGCTACCAGATGGACATTTTTATGGGAGTTTCGAAATAATCTTTAAATTGAGTGCTGTTTGTGTTTCTGAGACATTTTCTCCTGGGGAGGGAGATACAAACTATTGATTTATCTAAAGAAGTAAAGTGTGCAATATGTATTTTCTTAACAAATGTCACATGATTCAAATCATTGGATACTATATGTTATTCTGAAAATTAAGAGAAACTAAAAGTGTATTTTCACAGGAATAGTTGTAATTTAGGTGGCTGGTATTTCAAGTTACATTGTATTAAGAATGAATGTTAACACATGAAATAACTTGACGTCAGTGTAGAGAACAGAATATGTTTGAGATGAATATGAAACTAAATTGCCTCCTGTTTTTATTTCTGAATCTAATGGTATCTCTATAGACTGTATTCAAATATGACTGTTGATTATTTGTACCAGAGAAGTTTGTAATGGAGAATATCCTGATGTGCAGCCATTCTGCATTGTAGGTGTCTTGTCCTGTCTTCATGTCCTGTACAAAAATATGGGATTTGAAATTGACTGTTTTATTCATTGAGATATACTTTCAGAAAAAGAGATGATCTTGTTTTTGAAAGTTTTATTGAAAATCTTGTCTAGTCTTTCCTGGCATGTGTTTGCCAGTCGACCAAAGCATCCCAATTAACAGTGAAATACCTCATACTGTCGTATATCGTTCAACTTACACGTACCATTATATGTTTGCTGTAAGTGTACATTTAAAGACTGCCTTTGTTAAAGTTGTTTGTCAACCTGTACATACCCAAGGTATTAGCTTTTACTTTCAGATGACTTATTAGTGCATAATATTAAATAGATAAATGGAATATGCTAGCAACATAGCATTGTTCACCTTCATGCAGCCCTCAAATTTCAGCTTGGTAGGCCAAGGTCCAAGCTCAGCACCTTACCCTGTTTTATTCAATGCACGGCCAGTTATTTGGTTTGTTTGTTTGTTTGTTTTGTTACAATATGTACCTACCCCCCTTGGTTCTCTCATCTCAGGTCCTCAGTACTTTTCAAACTCCATCTTAGTTTGAGTTGAGCTGTTGTTTATAATACTCCCAAATTCTTTATCCACTTACTTTGGATATGTTTTTTGCCATCTTACTTCTCAGCAAAATAATAAAACCAAGCTTCTTATTCCATTTCCTTCGCTTTTGTTTGTAGCTGTTACCTGTGTGTTGCCTTGATGTCCATGTCACTCCTTAGTTTAGCCAGTCCCAAGTGACTTTCCAATTCTGTGATGTTTGTCTGCCGACCTAACCAACCCAAGAATACCTCATTTTTGTTAAATAATCACATAATTACACCTGCACAGTTTGAGGGCTGCATGGCACATGTTATTACTGTGTATCTTTGTCTACATTTAGTCTACTGTGGAACACACAGTGCGAAAATCAGGGATTTCTTTATTTATTATTTCAATGCACTTGTTCCCAATATTGTCAGAACTATTCTATTTTTGGTCATTGTTCAAGCGGGTCTGTCACAATCTGTCCAACTGGGTTAGTGTGTGTGTGTATGTGGCTGCTTCAGACATGATACATGGCTATAGTCCACAAGCAGTAGTGAGAGCTTTCGGGTATTGGTGTCACACCGTTAGTTACACACAGTAGACCCATATGGAGCTCACCATAAAATTGTTTGTTTCTGAAAATATATTTAAATATTGAGTGACATTTTTAAGTACTCCCTTACTGTATTCTAATCTTTAGGATGTTAAAGGAACTGTTTGTTTAACTTTCAAATTTAATTGGAATTATTATGGATACCACTTTTCAAATCTGATTGCTACTTATCTTGCACATAATACCAGTTGTCATAATAACATTTGGAATGGTTGACAAATTGCTCCAGGTCTTAACAGCTTTGACTCTGCAATAATACTGAAGGCAATAACCAGCTGTAGCACCGGGGCAGAAGATGACCCTAATCCCCTGGAGCATAACCCTAGCAATACATCCATAGATCAAACCTTGATGAAGCAAGTATGGAAAATATCTTCTTAAGCAATAATGTTGTGATAAGCTTCAGGTAGCCTAAGGCAAGACATAAAAGGTAGTTTTAACTTGTACATAAGCCAAGGTCACAATATTAAATGTTTCAGTGAAACAAATCATAGAAATGTGTTGTAGATAGATTGTATGTAAAGTAATACTACTATGAGTCTGAAGTAACCACACACCCTCACACTACCCTGCTTTTTACGTGTCCCTGCCCTAGGACCTGTATTATGGAGACGGTCTCAGGGCAGGGCCAAGCCTATATATAAATATTATATATACATATATATAAGCTGCATAATCGAGTGTAGCTTAACATGTTTCTAAAGTACTATTTAAAACCTCTCCATGGACCAACAGTACCGGCCCATGATGCAGCTTACACGATCAGTTCCACTCCCGCCAGCCCTCCCTCCCGTGGTCTAGTGCACACCTTGTTTGTACGTATGTATGCATATTTTGGTACAACATACCGTATTTTTGTATAGTGGAGTGAAGTTTGGCACCTGTCTATGTAGATTATGGTGGTTTTTTGTATGCAATAAAAGTCTTGACAAAGTACTCTTTTCTTGTCAGGTTGTCACTGGTGTGTTGTTCACAAGGAAGTCGTTTGTGCGAGTGCAGATGTTGATGAGGTCATAACCTTCAACATGCGTGAGCGACATTAACACGGGATGGTTGTTGTCCATTTGTTAGCACTCAAAAACGATTGGGTAAGACCTATAGGATGAATATCATTTTGGTGAAGGTCATAGTAATACACATATTAACACATGTCTAAAGTGACTAAGTGAATGTTCTTCCGTCACGATTAAGTTCGAATGATCTCATGGGTACAGTTAAAGACGTACACCCTTGGTCATTGTTTATGGTGATATGGCAGGAATATTGCTTAATACGGTTCGAACTAATTCTCATTTATTTACCCATCAGTGTTTATGATGGACTCTCCTTTTCGAATGAACAACATCGACCGTTGGTTTCCTGTCTCGCCACCAGGGTGTCGTTGTACAAAGTGATCTTAGCGCTAAAGTGACCGTAACTCCCATACCTTAACATAGACCTAAGGCAGTCTTAGCGCTAAGGTTGGTTTGTACAACAGCACCTCAAAACAAACCAATTTGCAGATCCGGCATATTTCGCTCCTGGTCAACCACTGAAGATGTGGCAGACTGACCTTGCACCCGCTTTACGTCTGTTCGATTCCCCACCTGGGTTCGATATGTTGCACGCTCTGTTTAGAGCCTTGTGAAACCATACTTAATCCCGCTTCTTACGGATCTACCTATTGCTGAAGCGGTTCAGTTGCTGCCACAGTGATTCTGAAACATATGACACATAATATGAATACATAATATGGGTATTTAGAATGGGCTACTACCGACATGACGGTTACCTTGAGTCTTTCTGTACTACGTCTTCACACGCCCAACGAGAATATTAACCTAATACAAGTCACTTGTTTGTCTGGTCCATTCTCAAGGACCTGCTGGACGCCCTGACTAGTTGTGACACAACCAGACACTGCTCTTTCTATTGTGACACTACCAGAAACTAACAGACTATCCTTACTAATGTGACACATGTGACTTTTCTCACTCGATATTTTCACTCCAGACACGCCCATTTGTGACTGACAGATAACACCTCAAGCCACGGACAAGAATACCTTAGTATAAAACAATGCGTTGACGTTACGTGGTTTAAGGTTGACGCACATGAAATGACAACACAACAATCAACACATCATAAAACTGAAGTTACATGATCTCGGAAACTGTCAGTTGAACACATTAATGCCCTTGCTACGCCATTCCCTTCCAACCTGTATGTAGTGAATACCATATTGACCGTTCTACTGGAGCATAGAAAATGAACATTTAGTGTACGGAATGAGATTACTCTAATTAGAAATCATTTGTTGTTTAAGCCAGAGAAACTGCTTGGATGGAAATTGAGTTCAAATTCAGTTTGGAAAAACTACAGCTGTTGCAGACAATTTTAATAGGGTTCAATCGTGAATATTCTCTCATTCGGAAAAGTAATTTACATGAAAAAAGTGTACTAAAAGAGCTGAACTTGACTCTGGGAGTCATTATGTTTCTCTCAGAATTAAATTTTGAAAACGTTTATTGCTTTTGGTCTATAGTCATGTTGCGATTGAAATAGTAACACTGATAATACTGCGTGCTTGATTAAACTTAAAATATGGAGAAATCTCTTTACCTCATTTATTTTTAAATATTTTAACATTAAAGTAATGGCGAGGAAACGATGATATCCAGAATGAGAATTATGTTTCTTAATGTCCCATTCAAACTTTTTGCACGCCTATTTTGACTGGCTAACGGGATTCAGGGCAGTCGCCCATGCAAGAGTTCTTTAAACAAATTGACTTATTAAAATGCAGTCACTACACATGCTAGATAGCGGAAACATTTTAATAGTGATTGTTTGGAGTTCAAGGTACACAGTGGACAGAATATTAAGAAGGCAAAAGAAGTCTTTGCACTTGAATACATCCACATTTAATGCACGTGTGTGTACACGACTGTTAATGTACCGCCACACAATAACGTGATTTTGGTCGAAGTGTAACATTAAAACATGTCCACATGTAGATACTTCATGGAGATTGTCTCTCTCTCTCTCTCTCTCTCTCTCTCTCTCTCTCTCTCTCTCTCTCTCTCTCTCTCTCTCTCTCTCTCTCCTCTCTCTCTCTCTCTCTCTCTCTCTCTCTCTCCAACTAAGACAGAGAAGGTACAATTTTAAATACCAACAGACAGGTATTTTCTGTAATATCCATATGGTAAGTCATAATATATTCCTCTTTCGTGTATGTTTAATGCCCATGCCTTCTTAAACAGATGATGGGCCCCGAACACGGAAACTTCTCAAATGGTCGTAGTGCCAACATTTAAAGAATGTTGGATTGAAGGTTCTTCCAACGGACTGAAGCAATGAGTATTGGAATATTACCATCAGTTTCTAACAATACACAGGAGACATTTAAACTTTGTACTTTTACGCCAACGTGAAAACGCCGATGCCCCCAATGCTGAGATGAGTGGCCAGGTATGACCTTTGCTCGATTTGTAGCCCTCATAGTGCGGTTCCAAGAGTGTAATAACTCGTAACTCTTATCACTAATGCCATTTTCGCGCCATCAAACCGTTTTTTTCAGGGTAGTTATAGTTTCATGCATGGCAATCCATATTTCTTAAATGTTCTCAACGGTTGTTTTTTTCTGCTCAGTGCTGGCAACAAGTAAAGTCCCTCCGAGACCGAAACTGGTTGCACAATGCGCAACTTACACTTAAGTGCTTCCTTTCTATTTTAGTTGAAGGTAACCCTTTCATATCAGAAAATGGACTCTACAATGCAGGTCAAATATTCTCACAATGATTACCTATTTTTCGTTTACGTTTTACAAACGGTGTAGACCAGGGAAATGAAACAGCTAAAAACTCGCCAGATAGGCCGAAAGGTCTTAAAAAGCTTGCCCTAATTATGAGCATCAGAAACATGTTCAACTAGTTCTGGGTGCTGAATTCCACATTGATAATAGGCTTTTAGGGAAAAAAAGGTCGTATGTGAGGAGTAAAGGATAGCATTTGCATTCACACACGAACGATAATACCCTGTACTCTCGGGGGATGCATTCAATGAACTTTCGCTAGATCGTCTCTCTTAGATTGAATCAAACTTTTTTTTCTCATCCACTATGCTGTTTTTATTACAAATGAGATGACTGACAGATAATTCAAGTCTGTTTCAAAACACGGACTAAATATCAATTGAGTAAAACTGGCATGGCGACTGTGTCGACAGCTCTGTATTTCTGTGTGTCTACGGATTTTGCTTCTGTGAATAACTTGACATGGTGTCACCAGTCTTACTGGGGGTCAAAGGTCACACAAATGCCTAATTCAAGCTGGAACGTCGTAATCGTCATTGGTAGTTTCTATGAATAAATTGAGTCTATTACATTCTTGAATCTTGATTTGGAGGTTAACTGGACAACAATTGGTGGCAGTTCAGGAATAATTAAGGATATTAGGCTCCAGTGGTAATCTACCTATGAATAATTATTTTAATGCTGAATTTGTATAATAACACATAAGTATATCGATGCATATGGCATGAAGAACCCTTTCGAGAGTGTCCGTTGAATTACTGTGGGAAACTTTTTAGTGGTGTGTTTGATGCACTTCAACATCTTTGCAAGGATAATGACAATGAATCAATATCCTCACTCATAACTTCAGCACAATTTGTATTATTATGTCACATTTGGGGCTAAGCTGTCTTGTTTATCAGCCCTGAGCATGTGTAAATGTCCTATATACATTATTCACTCACATTGTCTATATCTGATATCGATGTACATGTCACTGCAATAAAGCTGTTCAAATTCCTAGTGGATAAAAAAAACCCTCAAAATCTTTTAATAGTGATAACGATCGTGATTTTATTTTCTAATTACCAATGAAGCATTCTTCCCTAATTTGTTAATATAATTGTACTGTATCAAAGCGTTTCTTAAACCGTAATGTCCTGTATTGATGCCGTGGCTTCTTTTCATGGATAATTCAAACACAGCAATTGCCTGCTTAAAGAGATCGTACCCAAATTGCACCATACAGTATTCGTCAAAATTGTCATGTCGTCCGGTTCTTTTAATCTAGTTTTCCAAAATCGGAATAATTTGCTTAACGTCTTAGATGGTTTATTATTCATTTGATCAATCCGTTACACCTTTCAAAAGTTGAAATTAGTTGTGACCGTGTAACTGCGTGTGTTTAAAGTCAAATTACTTAGATGCCGTGCATCCCCGCTCACCCAAGTCAGGCAGTACGATATCAAACCACGTCGCTGCTTCATTAAGTGTAAAACTTTCGATTTGTACTCATTTCACTGAATTTCATCTCCGTTCGACTAGAAATACTTCATCTTGTATCGCACCCTATAACCGCTAATTCTTTTGTTCTACGCTTGCCCATTGAAATTGTTTTAATTTGATTATTCTCTTGTGAGGAAACTACAAGTGTACATTCTGTTTGCTCCACAGAAACACAACACCGTTCCTATCCTATGGCCAACCCCTGGGGAAGAGTCAAGAGGTCTTAAACTTTAACTCCAGTGTTTAACCTGATTAACAAAGCAACCTCAGCTTTAGGGTAGGCATAGCTCGCTCAACCTGTTGTGCTAAGTATGAAAGGAACAAAGGGTCCCAAGAATAGCATTAAACATTTGGCGTTTAAAGTGCCTTACATTATTCATATAGATCACCGGAGTATGGCACCGGCAAATCTCCGATGAGATGTAAGCATAAATGCAGAGTGGTAATAGTGGCGACATTCGTTAAGACTACCGCCACATTACAATTGGCAACGGCCCTTCGGGGACTCCAACTTTCACACGATTCCACGGTTGCTTTATCTTTAGTAAAGTCTTTGTCTATGCATGGCTTCCGAACAGGCGCCAGATGACGAAAGGTACAAATGAAATTAGCCTGCTTTTTCTTTGAAAGCTAGTTTAGTTTTAATTTAAAGCTTCCT